GCCGCGCGGGGTAGAAAGAACCCCCCAAAAGCCGGTCGGAAGCGGCGGGAGGAGGACGTGACTGACGTCATCGCGCGGAGCCGAGGGGGCGGCTGCGCGTGATAAGCCTTTGCTTGTCTTTTGCTCTTCGTAATTTTATGCTGCTTCCTTTACTTTGCCTTTCCCCGAGCTTACCTGAGTAGTATTGTTCATTTCGGACAAGAAGGGAAATGGGAAGAAAATGAGTATCAGCACCCGCAGTCATCTTTAACCTTTCATTGTCTTCGCTCCCGGCCTTTCTCTTGCATTAAGTGAAATTGTGATCTTACAGAATACCAGGGGTATTAAGTACAAATATCCGTGAGAAGAGACAAAAAGCCCATGTGAGCCTAAGGCTCAGTTAGAAGAACAAGCTAGAAGAGGAAGAAACGTTCAAATAAAACATTAAAAGAGCAATTCACCCACAGCATTTATCTTACTACCCTATCATCCAGGTGGGAAAACGGCTTAGAGGGTTACCATGACTTGTCCAAGGTCGCATGCTACCCAAGGGGCAGAACTACGGTTTCAAACCGGCCCTAAGATCTGAACCTTAACGCGAGAGACAAGAGTTAGGTGAGGACAGTGAAGAGTGGTGCTGGGAAGGGAGAGAAACCCACTGGACATTTACTGAACCCCAGAACCCAGTGGAATTTTTGAGTTGAAATTAGCTCAAAGGAGCTAGTCTAGTGCCCCGGTAAGTCGAAGCAGCTTCTTAGGAGAGTACCATATAAAAGAGCCCCCATTAGTGCACTGCTTTGAAATCTCCAGTGCCCTAGCTACATGCTGGGCATCCCAACCACTAGCTGGGATGTCGTTGACCTCCAGCACTGCCTTCCCTGTTAGTAGCAGTTAAAGGTGGGAGACCGTTGGAGCCAGTAGGTGGCACGGTGGTTAAGAGTGCTGGACTCCCAGATGGCCAAATGCAGTTCATGATATGAACCTGACAGCTTTGCTTTCTCACTTTCTCTCTCTATATATATATCTCTGGTCAAATTTAAATACATAAATAGATAAGAGATAGATTTAAAAAAATAAGTGTTAAAGGGGCCAGCAGGTGGCATGGTGGTTAGGGGCACTGAACCAGTCATTCTTTTCTATTACAGCCCAAGCCAGTAACAGCTGGGTTACTATCACTCGCCATCTAAAGAAAACCAAGAACCTACTTCATATGGATTTTTTTGTTTGTTTTCTCTTTCTGAGGACAATGAATATTGAATTATAAGAAAGGGAGGGCCAGCTCTGCAGTACAGTCATAATGTGCTGCTCAAGAGCAGCTGAATCCTACAGTAACTACAGTTTGAATCCAGCCTGATGACCCTGAAATACACTGGCATATGTTCATGTGCCCAGGATCCAAGGGGCTAGAGGAAGGGGGGTGGGGGGACACCAGCATATGGCATAATGGTTATATCACTGGGCTCCCACATGGCTGACTACGGTTCAAGTCCTAGACCCAGAGGCTTGAAACTCATTCCAGGTGCGTGTGCATGCATGCCCAAAATCCTGAGAGAATGAAGGAGAGGTTGTAGCGTGGCCATTCCCCCAGGGGATGATTTCTCACTTTCTATCTCTTTGGTGAGTACATACACCCTATAGCAAAAATATCTCTTTAAAAACAAAAAACAAAAAACAAAAAAAAAAGGAAGGGGATTGTGGCATGACCTGACCCTGTGCAGGGCGTTCATCTCTCTAATGTATGAACACGTGTTCTATCATTAATTTAAAAAAAATAGTTTTTAAAGACATTTACAGCAAAGCAACATGATAAAATGGGGAAAAAAATTACATACTTTGGAGTACAATCAAACCTTTTTATAATTGGCAGATTACATAAGGGCTTGCTAGAGAGAGACAGAAAGCAAAACACCCCCGTTGGGGCATTCCTTTTCCATTTCTACATCCTGCTGGGATTTTGGGCACACATGCACACTTTTTTTTTTTTTAACAATTTTCTATTTAATTTTATTATTATCACTTTTCGATTTGACCAGTGAAAGATAGGGAAAGTGAGAAAGCAAGCTGTCAGGTAAAGGACTTAAACCACAGTTGGCCATGTGAAAGTCTAGAGCTTTAACCACCATGTCACCTACTGGCCACCATGTAAGCTGCCAGGGCTGGGATTTGAGCCAGTGGTCAACCATGTAGGCTGTGGCTTCCTCTAACCTCTAGGCCACGGGTTGGCCCTAAACATTATTTTTAATGCTGTTTCCAGCAAGACACTTTACCTCAGAGGGCTACTTCTTTAGCTCTGTAAAAGAAATAATGTCTAAACTAAAAAAAAAAAAAAAAAAAAAAATCAATGAGAAATTGATGAAGTGAAAACATAAATGAAAGTGCCCGGCACAGGCAAGCACAAGGGAAGTGTTCGTTACCTCCATCCCTCCTGTAAGACAGGCTTCCACTTCCATGTCTTTCAGTATCTCCAGTCTGTGATCAACAAACTCAGAAACAGGAACTGAACTTTACTAGCTACTGTACTTTTTTGGAGAATAAAGAAGGAAATAAATATCAAGTGAATGAATAATTACAAACATAAGTTTGAAATGCTAATGTTCCCTTGACACCTGAGCCTTTTTTTCCCTATTTTACTATCAGCTAAATCCCCCAAAAGGCTTAGAATTTTATAATCAGACCGACATGAGAGATACTTGGAAAACTAATGACACTGTGCTTTATTTGAGAACAGAGTAGAGTATGGCTGGAACTCTGCCAGGATGTTCTGTAACACTCTGCCCTAACCGGGGTATTACGAACTTTCAAACACTGTTGGTATAATGCTGAGTGCTGCTAACTTCTTAGAGATTTGAAAGAAAGAAACACTAAAGGTGGGTCTGTAAGAAGAAAAGCAAGCTGATTTTTTTTGTTCCATTTAAAATTCTAGCCAGTAATACTGCCCAATTTACATGAACACTGTATACATCAGCACCAAAAAGGGGTATTTACAAAGACCTTTTCTTCCACAGAGCCACTGGAAAGGACTGAGAAATTACATCGTAGTTGAGAGCAGTTCTCTAAGCAACAGGGCCATCGAAGTGCCTGACTACTATTTGAAGGTGTCAAGGGCAGAGGATGTGCAAATTTAGCAGCAAAAGATTCTTGTTTTGCTTCAAGGGAAAGTGATAGTGGTCAGAGGAGCCAGTTCCAAGGGCTGGTCAAGTGGAGGACGCTGGTCGTGGTACTCTGCCACATGCCCGTTCCGGTGGTGGCCATACTCAAACTTGATCCGCAGCTCACCAATCTTGGACTGGGGAAGGATATCTGGGATCCACTCAATGATAAAAGGTGTCGGCTCCTTTTGATCGGGGGAAGTGTTGCCTAAAGAGAAAAAAGGAACACTCTGACAGCCATTCCTCTCTTAATGACCTGTTAACAACCCCTGCAACTTATGACTATTTCTCCAGAGCAGGGAATCCCGTTTCAGTCTGGGTGCGTCTAGGGAATCCCCTTCTCAGTCGTTGTCTCACTCCCAGTCAGTATTCGCTACATGAAGTGTCTACAATCACACAACACTACAGGTTTATATTTGCACTTTACTGCACACTCACAGTAGTATTCAGAATACATAAAAACGACTGTGCTGAACTCACTGTGTTGTGTGTCTTGTTGCTTTCTAGTGCGTAGCTAATATATGCCTTTTGTATGGATAGAATTACATTATTCTAGTGTGGTGGCACGTGATATCTATGGAAAAATATACCCTATGGTGCCACAATCCACCATAAATATCCATGTTCAAGCTTATTGATCAGTTCACTTTCATGACCCAGTCATAGGAGAGGAACTCAGGTGCCGAGTGAAGAGTGCCTGGTACAGCTCCACCTGCTGCCAACCAGTGTTCCTAACAGCAAGCAGTCTCCTGAATTGCGAGCGTCTACTCAGCTTTGATCAGAACGCTGGGTAGGGTTTACATATTCAGTGGCACTATGGTTTGTATGTCCCCCTTCCCCTATTCATTTGTTGTATTTTAGTTGTAACAGGATTAAGAAGATACAAATTTACCAGACTGGGTATTGAACAGACTGGGTATTTACCAGACTGGGGGGGTTTGGGAAGAGATTAGGATTGGGGTCATTAGGGTAGGGCTCCCATGACTTGATGCCTCATGTTTTTTTGTTTGTTTGTTTGTTTTTGAGAGAGATTTTTTTGCTATAGGATGAGTGTGTGGTCACCAGCCAACCAGCCAGAAAGCGAAAAAATCACCCCCTGGGGGGATGGCCAAGCCACAATCCCTTCTGCTCCATTCTCCTCTCGGGATCTTGGGCACAACATATACACACATGCCCGGCATGAGTTCCAAGTCTCCAGGTCCAGAACTCAAACCAAGGTCACCATGTGGGTGACATAACCATTATACCATGTGCTGGTCCCGCCTGACAGGTTTATAAGGAGAAGAAATGAGAAGACAGATACACACACCCTGCCTGGCTCAAGCTCTTGGCTTCTGCCAGGCTGTGATGTAGCCTCACTAAATGTGGCCCCTGGACCTTGGCCTTCCAAACTGTGAGCTGAATAAACCTCAGTTCTCTCAAATTACCCAGTTACAGGTATTTTCTGGTATTATCAATAGAACAGACTAGAACAAGTGGTGATTGGGGTATGTATTTCCTGACTACTATGAAATTAAAACATATTTAATAATTTTAGGTCATAGAAATACTGCAGGCAAAAGTGACAGCTGGGGGCCAGCAGGTGGCGTGGTAGTTAAGGCCCTGGACTCCCACATGGTCTACTATAGTTCCAGTCCTGACCTGATAGCCTGCTTTCTCACATTCCTTCTCTTTCTCTGTGTCTCTCTCTGGTCAAACTTAAAAAAAAATAATAATAATAAATAAAATTGAACAGATAATTCTTTAAAAATATGATAATATATAAAAATTAAAAATATCATCTTAAGGGACTAGCAGTTGGTATAATGGCTATGTTGCTGGACTCCCATGTAGTTGACTGTGGTTCGAGTCCCAGACCCCAATGGCTTAAACTCACACCGGGCGTGTTGCGTGCATGCCCAAGATCCCGAAAGGAGAATGGAGAAGGGATTGCGGCGTGGCCATCCCCCCTGGGGGGGTGATTTTTCACTTTCTGTCTCTCTGTCTCTGGCGAGTGCATGCATCCTATAGCAAAAACCTCTCCTCTGCAAAAAAAAAAAAATGAAGAAAAAGATATTTTAGTTTAGACCTTGTCAATTTCCTTGCTGTGTGTGTGTGCTCAAAATCCCAGGAGGAGAAGGGATTGAAGTGTGGCCAAACTGTCCTATGTGGTAATTTCTCACTTTCCCTCTCACTGTCTCTCTCTGGCAAGTGCTCATGCCCTATGGCAAAAATCCTAAAAAAAAATCCATTTCTTCCACTTTTTTAGGTCATTTCTTGAAGGACCCTAAAACATCATTTGAGGGACCAGCAGATGGCATAATGGTTACTGTGTGGGAGTCACTAGACTCATGACTGTGGTTTGAGTCCTAGACCTGCTGGCTTAAAACTCATGCTGGGTGTGTGTGCGTGCATACCCAAAATCTTGAGAGGAGAATGGAGAAGGGATTGTGGCATGGCCATCCCACTGGGGGGTAATTTCTCGGTTTCTGACTCTGTCTCTCTGACGAGTACATGTGCCCTACAGCAAAAATCTCTCTTAAAAACAAACGAACAAAGCACATCATTTAAAGGACTGGAAACTGGGGCCAGAAGTTGGCATAGTGGTTAAAGGTGCTGGATTCCCACATGGCTGAACGCTGTTCGAGTCCCGGACCTGGAGGCTTGTTTTCTCACTTTCCCTTTCTCTCTGTCTCTGTCTCTGGTCAAATTAAAAAATAGTAACAGGGCTGGCAGGTGGCGTGGTGGCTAAGGGTGCTGGACTACCACATGGCCAACCATAGTTTGAGTCCAGAACTGGCAGTTTGCAAATCACATGAGGTGCATGTGTGTGCATGCCCAAAATCCCAGAAGGAGAGTGAAGGAGAAACAATTGTGGCTGGTCATCCCCCCCCTAGGGGGTGATTTCTCACTTTGCCTCTCTTTTTCTCTGTCTCTCCATCAAGCACACATGCCCCAGGACAAAAAGCCTAACTACAATAACCAAAAACAGCTACTTACTTGTAACGAAAAATATCTCTAGAAACTTGTTTGCCCAGTTGTTACCCAGGTTTTGTTTTGTTTTGAATTCATGACAGAGCTCCCTCTGCATGGACCCACAACATTCTCTGCTTCTGTTAGTCATGTTGTGACACAGGCCTGCCTAATGCCAGCCCAATAAATAAATAAATACAAATAATAATTTAAAATTAGTTTTAAAAATCACAAATAGAATTAATTAAATAAATAATTCTTTAAAAAAAAAAAAAATACCAGAAACAAAGCTTCTGCCCAACCTAGTCTAACGAATGACCTTGTGGCCTGGTAGATTTTTATCTGTTTGGTTGCTTTTAGCTATTGAATATAAACATTAGATTTATCAAACTCTTTGTCACAAATATCTTATAGCTCTCATTTCAAATGATAGCTGGCTGATAACTCTCCTTTGGAGCTACTACCAACTTTTCACTTAAGTATCAGCAAAAACACAGAAGGCTGAAAACTCACAATGATGAACATTAAAGACTATTGGCAGCATATGGGGAGTAGACATAAATAGGTACAGATGGACGGAGAGAGAGCTACCCAGGCTTTTGCCATAGCCCGTTCCAGCTTTCATTCAAAAAGGGAGGCCGGGGGTTGGCAGGTGGCGTTCTGGTTAAGGCATTAAAATAATAATAATAATAATAAATTAATTTAAAAAGGGAGCCAGCAGGTGGCATGGTGGTTAAAGGCACTGGACTCTCACATGGTTGACCACAGTTTTGAGTCCCAGACCCAGTGGCTTGCTTTCTCACTTTCTCACTTTCCCTTTCTTTTTCTCTGTCTCTCTTTGATCAAACTGGAAAATAACAATAATATGGGACCAGCAGTTAATGTAATGGCTGTTGCTGAACTCCCATGTAATCGACCATGGTTCAAGTCCTGGACCTGGTGGCTTAAACTCATGCTGAGTGCGTGCCCAAGATCCTGAGGGGAGACTGGAGGAGGAGGAATTAGGCGTGGCCATCTTCCCTGGGGTACCACTTCCTTATTTCCCCTCTCTCTCCCTCTCCCCAGAGGGCACATTTACCCTGTAGCAAACTAAAATAGTAAAAATAGAGGCAGGAGGTAGTGCAGTAGTTAAGGTGCTAGATTTCCACATGGCCAACCATGGTTCAAGGCCTGGACCCAGTGGCTTGAAAATCACATGGGGTGCATGTGCATGCATGTCCATAATCCTGAGAGGAGAATAGAAAAGGGATCATGGCGTGGCTATCCCTTCAGAGGGTGATTTCTCACATCCCTCTCTCTGTCTCTCTCTGGTGCCCTATGGCCAAAAAAAAAAAATGTGGGTGGCCCAGTTTGTGGCCTGGTGGTTACAATGGCTGGATCACGCATGACCCACCACAGTTTGAGTCCCATAGTGAGCAATTTGAAAACATGCTACACACAAGTGTGTATGTGCTCAAAGTCCCAAAAGGCAAAAGGAGAGAAAAATAGAGAAGAAATGATTGTGGCATGACCTTGCCCTATGGGGAGTCCTTTCATACTTTTCTGTTTCCTCTCAGCCTCCTCCCAGTGAGCATATGCGCCCTCTGGAAAGTTAAAAAAAAAAGAATAGTGAGACTAGCCAGTGGCCTAGTGTAACACAATATTCTGCGAGCCTGAACCCTGGGGAAGTGCTCTAGGTTCACATCTGCATACCTCCCTGAACACGTGAGGTAATGTGATTTTTCCTTAAAAAAAAAAAAGAAGTAAATGAATAAACTTTTAAAAATAAAAAATAATGTTGGAGATGTATACAGACAGCTGTTCATCATATATCATTAAATTAAAAAAGCATCTGAAGTATATGATCAGATGTTTTGGGAACTCTTAACAGACGAGATATGTGCCCAGATCATAATGATGGTATTATCTATGGGGGGTGGGGCTGGATTACACACATTTTTTATTTTTAAATTTAATTACTTAATTACTTTCTTTTAAAACAGAATTATTTATTTAACTTTATTCATTCATTCATTTTTATCTTAATTTGACCAGAGAAAGAAAGAGAAAGGGAGAGGGAAAGTGAGAAGGCAAGCCACCGGGTCCAGGACTCAAAGGTTGGCCATGTTGGGAATGTCCAGCACCTTAACCACCACACCACCCGCTGGCCCCTAATTAATTACTTTCTACTATACGGTGCATGTGCTCACCAGAGAGACAGAGAGGGAGAGAAGGTGAGAAATCACTTTCCAGGGGGATGGCTGTGCTACATACAATTCCTCCTTCTCCATTCTTCGGATCAAGGGTATGCATATGCACATGTGCCTGGAGTGATTTTCTTTCTTTCTTTCTTCTTTTCTTTTAATGCTTTCTTCTTTTAGTTTTGCCATAGGGCATGTGTGCTTGCCAGAGAGAGAGAGAGAGAGAGAGAGAGAGAGAGAGAGAGAAAGCAAAAGTGAGAAAGCACCCATGGGGAGATGGCCATGCTGTAATTCCTTCTCCTCCATTCTCCTTTCAGAATTTTGGGCATGTATACACATATAGCTGGCATGATTTTCAAACCGCTGGGTCTGGGACTCAAGTCACACAGCTGGCCATGTGGGATCCAGCTGCCTTAACTTACATGCCACCTGCTGGCCCACAGGTGATTTTTATTATTTATTTCTTCATTTTTAAAAGTATTCTTTAAAATTTTGGGGCCAGCAGGTGGCATTGGGGTTAAGGGTGCTGGACTGCCATATGACAGCTGACTGAGGTTCGATTCCTAGACCTGGTGGCTTGCTTTCTCCCTTTTTTCTCTCTCTCTCGTTCTGTTTCTCTCTGGTCAAATTAAAAAAAAAAATTTCTTCATAATAGGTGCCCGCAGGTGGCATTGTGGTTAAGGGTGCTGGACTGCCATATGACAGCTGACTGAGGTTCGATTCCTAGACCTGGTGGCTTGCTTTCTCCCTTTTTTCTCTCTCTCTCTTTCGGTTTCTCTCTGGTCAAATTAAAAAAAAAAAAAAGTAAGTAAGTAAATAAAGTTAAATAAAATAATTCTTTTTAAGAAATTTAGGGGGGGCAGCTGGTGGAATGATGGTTAAAAGCACTGGACTCCCACATGGTTGACTGTGGTTTGAGTCCCAGGCCTGGCAGCTTGCTTTCTCACCTTCTCTCTCTCTCTCTGATCAAACTGGAAAATAATAATATTAATAAATAAAGGTAAGATAAAATAATTATTTGAAAAAAATTATGGGGTCAGCAGGTAGCGTGGTGGCTAGGGGCACTAGACTCCCACATGGCTGGCCATAGTTCGAGTCCCAGACCTGGCAGCTTGCTTTCTCACTTTCTCTCTCTCTCTCTCTCTCACTCACTCTGTCCCTTTTTGGTCAAATTGGAATAGATAAATGAATAAATGGAGTTAAATAAAATAATTTTAAAAAATTATTAATGATAAGAGTGTGTGTGCACCCTTGTAACAGCGAGAGAGACAGAGATAAGCACCTTCTTCTGGTCATGCCACCGTCCTCCTCTTCCAGTACTCCAAGCTGTCAGATCCTGGGTACAGGTGGACCAGGCTGGACATTAAAACTGCGACTGCTATGTGGGATCCAGTTTCTTCTGAGCAGGGCATCCCGACTGTGCCACAGAGCTGGCCTGGCTTTTATTTTGTCTGTTATGCTCTATAATGAAATCTATGATTTCTCCATAATGAATGTGTATTTCTTCTGTAATTTTATTTTGAAAGCACAGGCTCAATGAAATGAAAACCCTTATCCCATGTTTGCCTTACAAGATGAATGAATGTGTCCTCTTTAAGGTCAAGATCTAAAAACTGCAGTCAGTGTAAAGGACACAGCCAACTCTCAAAGAAGATGTGCTGTTGAAATTCACTTACCAACTTTGAGAAAAGTCTTGAGCTCCAAGGGCCTCAGCACTGGCTGCTTTTCGATGCGGCCGTAGGTTTCTGCTATGCTCTCGACTTCTACTTTCGGGCATTTAAACAACTCGTAAGTCCCATCTCGGTTCTGTATAAAGCTACGGGTGATTTCCAAGGGCATCTGCACACCAAGAAAATACCAGGAAAAGTGAGAAAGAAAAAATCTTCAAAGTAGACAAGTACTTGGATAAAAACAGATGTTTTATTATGCCTTCTTTTTTGTTAAGTACACTCATTTAAAAATTCCCCCTGTGGTGCCAGTAGGTGATGTGGTGGTTAAAGGTGCTAGATTTGACATGGCCAACTGTGGTTCAAGTCCTAGACCTGATGGCTTGCTTTCTTACTTTTCCCTTTCTCTCTCTCTCCATCTCTGCCTGGTCAAATTAAAACACAATGATAACAGATAGAGTTAAATAAATAAATTCTTCTTTTTATTTTTTTTTAAGAATTATTTCATTTAACTTTATTTATTTATAATGGGGTGGGGAGAGAGAGAAAGAGAAAGAGAGAGAGAGAGAGAGTAAGAAAGCAAGCTGCCAGGTCCGGGACTCGAACCATAGTCAGCCATGTGGGAATCCAGCGCCTTTAATCACCACGCCACTTGCCAGCCCCAATAAATAATCCTTTTATAAAAAAATTCCCCCTGGGCCCATAGGTGGTATGGTGGTTAAGGGTACTGGACTTCCACATGGTTAAATGCAGTTCGAGTACTGGACCTGGCGGCTTGCTTTCTCACTTTCCCTTTTTCTCTCTCCCTCTCTGGACAAATTAGAATGGATAAATCAATATAAATAAAATAATTCCTTTTTAAAAGTTCCCCTTGTATTTTCAAGTAAATTCTGTCAACAAAGCTGCTTTTTCTTTTTTTTTTTAATAATTTATTTAACTTTATTTATTTATTTAAATTTGACCAGAGAGGGACAGAGTGAGAGAGAGAGAGGGGGGAAAGTGAGAAAGCAAGCCATCAGGTCTGGGACTTGAACCACTGTCAGCCATGTCAGGGTCCAGCGCCCTTAACCACCATACCACCTGCTAGCCCCCAAAGCTGCCTTTTCTATCATACATTATTCATGGCTGTCCTTTTTGCTCTACCATCTTCATTTCAATGCCAGCCAAACCACATCCTAGTGGAACCTCTAGTGTTTTCATCGCTATGTGCCTGCCACTGGTGCTGACCTGCTATAAAATCATTTCTTTTTTTTTTTTTCTTTTTTGGACAGGTTTTTGCTATAGGGCGTGTGCACTCGCCAGAAAGACAGAGAGAAACAGAGACAGAAAACAAGAAATCACCCCCCAGGGGAGATGGCCACACCACAATCCCTTCTCCTCCATTCTCCTCTCGGGATCTTGGGCACGCATACACATATGCCCTGCGTGAGTTTAAGCCACTGGGTATGGGACTCAAACCGTGGTCGACTACATGAGAGTCCAGTGACATAGCCATTATGCTAACTGCTGGTCAGTAAAATAATTTCTTCCCCTACTGCTCTGCTAGTGTCATTCTTGTACATCCTCTGTGGATGGCACCTACAGCTCATTTCACATCCTCTATATTTCACACTGTCCTTGGGACTGAGCCAGACTGAACTTGAACTGAATTCTGCCTCTGTCACTGAACAGCAGGGTAACCTTGAGCAAGCTAGCAAACTTCTCAGAGCCTATTTTCTCATCTGCAAAATGCGGTTAATGCTAGTGTGTGGCTGAGAGGTTAAATGAGGTGATGCGGGTAAACAATGCCCAATAGACAGGCGCTCAATGGTCATTAGCTTTCTCCTCCAACTTGTCTCTGCTCTGGGTTGCCCAGTGCCTTCCCGGAGGCCACCTGTTCTAGGACACAAGCTGCCTCTGTGACATCTTGCATTTAAAAATCTCCCAGGGGGGCTGGCAGGTGGTGTGGTGGTTAGGGCACTGGACTCCCACATATCTGACCACAGTTCAAATCCTGAACCTGGTGGCTTGCTTTCCCTTTTTCTTTCTCTCTCTCTCTCATCAAATTAAAATAAATGATTAAATAAGTATTAAAAGAATTTTCCATGGTTGGGGTTGGAGGTGGCATGGTATTGAAGGCGGTGAGACTCCCACATGGCTGATCGTGGTTTGAGTCCCGAATCTAGCAGCTTGCTTTGTCACTTTCCCCTTCTTTCTCTGGTCAGCTTTAAAAATAACAACAGGGGGCAGCAAGTGGCATGGTGGTTAAGGGTTCTGGCCTCCCACATGGCTGACCCTGATTTGAGTCCCAGACCTGGAGGCTTGTTTTCTCACTTTCCTTCTTTCTCTCTCTCTCTCACTCTGTCCCTCTCTGGTCAAATTAAAAATAAATAAATAAATAATGTTAAGTGAAAACAAATTTTTTAAAAAAATAATAAAATAAAATAATGACAATGAATAAAAATAAAAAAAAAAAACCTCCCAGGGTTTAATATAGCATTAATATAAGCCTTTTCTTAGGGTTTCCATAGGTTCTATAGCTACCAATGACTTATTTTGGACCAGAAAATGATGTGGTGGTTAAGACAAAATAAAATAAGTAAATAAATAAATTAGGAAAAGCAGGTGGCAAGGTAGTTAAGGTGACTAGATCCCACATGGCCAACTGCATGGTTTGAATCCCAGATCTGGCAGCTTGATAAACTAGCCAGG